GGTCAGAGGGAGAAGCAGACTCCCTGCTGAGCAGGGAGCCTGATGCGGGACTCGATCCTGGGACTCCAGGATCATGACCCGAGCCAAAGGCAGTCGCCCAACCAACTGAGCCACCCAGGCGCCCGACTGCACAAGTTTCTACACTCTGCCACACTCACCCCGAGTGTGGCCCCCATCCATCACCATACAACGCTGTTACAGTATCACTGACTGTATCCCCTGTGCCGTGCCTTTCATCCCCATAACTTACTCATTCCGTAACAAGAAGCTTGCACTTCCCACACCCCTTCACCCATTTTGCCCATCCACGTCCCCTTTCCCTCCGGCAATCATCAATTTGTTCTCTATATTTATAGCTCTGATTCTGCTTTTTGTTTATTTATTCATTTAATTTGTTTTTTTAGATTCCACATATGAGTGAAATCATATGGAATTTGTCTTTTTCAGTCTGACTTCCAGTTTTACAGATGAGAAACTTAAGGTTCAGAAAAGTTAAACGAACATGTCCAAGACACAATAACAAGCAGTGATGGGATGTCAAACTAGGTCTTCGGATTCCCAAGTCCACGTTCTTCCCCTCTTCCACACTGCTCAAAACAGCCTCATCAAGTTTCTTCTAGATCCAATCTATGAGTCATACATTAACAACTGTGCTTGCTAACAGAAACCTTTCCCAATGTATTAATTTCCTCCATTCTAATTATTACCAATAAAAGGTTACCACCTGGTGCTTATGCCAATGTAAGTTTACTTATTCATCATATTTATGAAATTCCACACTGTTTTTCCTGAGGGAAAAATAAGATATTTAGTATGATATTTCAAGTTTAAATAAAATATTTTATACAAAAATCAGCTCTTCCTAAGAGACAATCAACAAATATAAGATGCAATATAGGACACATCACAGAAGAATCCATGAGAATAACCTGAATTCAGAACCTAATAAAAACAGAAACAAACCAGTAAATTAATTACAGAGCTAAGTTTCCAGCTAGGGATTCTGGTGACTATAGCAGTCAAGCTCAAATAACCTACAGAGCCACTGGAAACCCAAAGATGTAATTACAGCTCTGTACAAAAATAAATAAGTAAATTAATTAATGAAACAAAACCTTTCAAAGTATAGTTGCAATCCAATATGGTAATGGCTAACTTCTCCCCGAATCCCTTGTTTAGAAACCTCAGCTATCCAGCTCCCAGCGGAGATTTAGGAAGCAAAGAAAACCAGTCCCTGACCAATCAAAAGAGCCGTCACAAAGTAAAAACATGAAAGTCTTGGTATCTCTCAGCTGAGTTGAATTACTTTTTGTTGTTGCTGCTTAACTTCATTTTAAATATCTTCAGGCTCAAAAAACATTCCAAAAGTAGTACAAAAAATTCCTGTGTACCCTTCACCCAGCTTCCCCAAACGTGGATGTCTTACATAACCACAGTCATTATGATCAAAACCAGGAAATTAACCACCAATACAAAACTTATTAAATAATCTAGAGCCAACCTTATAAAAATGTTTTGCCAACTGTATCCCACTGATGTCCCTTTTCTGGTCCAGGATTACACCCTGCATGTGGTTGTCTGTTTCCTCCCATCTGGGACAGTCTCTCTCATGACCCTGACACTTGAAGAGTACTGGCCAATTTTTTTGTAGAATGTCCTTCAATGTGGGTTTCTCTAATGTTTCCCCATAACTAAGTTTGGGTTATGCGTTTTGGCAAGCACAACACTACAGGTAATGTTGTGCCCTTCTCAGTGCCTCACACCAGAAAGTACATGACAATGTCCATCCATGTTTCATAACTGATGATGGCAACTCTATGATTATTTGCTTATGGCTGCATTTACTAGGTTTCTCGATGTAACATTACTAATTTTCCCTTTGTACATTTTTCTTATTGGGGGAGACTTTGAGACTATATAAATACCGTCTCTCATCATACTTTCACCCACAAATTTGAGCATCCATTGATGAATCTTGCCTGCAACAATTACTGTTTCCCAAATGGTGACTGTCTAGTTATTGGAGGTGTTAACAGCCCAGGTGGATCGATATGGACAGATGTGCTTTTTTAGGAAGAGGTAAACTTGGGAAACAAATGATTTAGTTGCATAGTTTGGATAAAACAGTTATCTATAAAGAAGCTACCCATCTTCTTTTTACTGACCTGGTTCAGGGGTACAGCTCACTTCTCATTTAAATAACACATTATACCATAAAATTAAGTCCAATTACACTTCTAATTTTTTAAATGCCACAATATGAAGAAATTTAATGATGATTTTATATAAATTAGTGATCTTTGGAAATTTTTGATACTTTTGACCATAATAAATATAAAATCAATATTGGGTCCAAAATAAACCACACAATATCCCGTACGTGTAAAACACAAAACAGTATCAGTAGAAGGACAAGTTACAAATCAATTACTGCTGTCCAACTACCAAAATTGAACATCACATCCAAATACCAACACCTCTTTTAATTTTAAACATTTGTTTAAGTTTCTGAAACTTTCACAATTAGAAATTTTGGAATCTCTTTTTTAACAGGATCTCTCTCCAGCCCGCTCCATAACGGATGTATACATCACAAAGAGCTTATTCTGATACAGCCAATTCTACGTAATGATATTGTTGTTTTTCGGACTTAGCTGGCAGTACCAGCAACCAAACAACAATTTTTGTGATGATCATTATTTTTTTCTTGGTCACCCCTCCCCCAATGTGCTTCCTGCATAAGGAATAAAGCTTGATCTGACTACAATTTTCAACAGTGAATAGACTCACAAAAGAGTCAATCTTCGCTTATCTCGCCAGCTTTAATAAAAACATCACTAAAAGCCCTGTTTAGTGTCTCATTGACATTTGGAGTACTCCCTTCATTTTTGAAGAATAAATTTTAAAAGCATTATTGATAAAGTAGAATATTCTGGAGAACAGCACTGAGGATATAGAAGGTTTGAAAACACTACCACTGAAAGAATAGATCAAAGAACTAGAAATAACGTAGCCGGGCGCAGGGAAGACTCAAGGAAGACGCATCGATGTCACCTTCAGATTTGAGGGTACTCACACATTTGGGGGTAGGAGGAGAAACAGACTTGTTCTAGGTCAGCTTAGAGGCTGAATTTGGTAGGACCCTCTGGAGAAAGATAAAAGAAGAGGGATATCCTCTCCAATACAAGAATTATTAGCACTGCATTAAACAGCCAGCTCCCCATGAGTGGAACTATATAACGAGAGAAAAGTAGCTGATAAGGATGTTGCAGAAGGAAGGAGAACTTACACACCG